CCCCCCCCCCCCCCGCCCCCTATACACACACAACTTCCTGTGACATCCCCCTGCTGGACAGAGGCCCAGCCACTCCTCCCGTGTGATTGGAAAGAAGCCTCATGCCTGCTGAGAGGGGGAGGTGGGAGAGGGGTTCTCCAGACATGAAGGGAGGGAGACTCCAGGCCCAGGGGAACTAGCTGGAGAACCTACCTTGCTGCACAGGTTTTGTGGCCTCCTGTGGTCAGCACCGTGCCCTCACCAGCTTGTGGCCTTGTCACTCCCACGTCCAGTTGGGCCCTCCCTGTCTCCGACTACAGGGGTTCCCATGGAAACACCAGCAGCTGGGTGATCTCCATGTACCTCAACTGATCTGGGAAGTGACACAGCCACCTGCCCTTGCTAAGCCTTGTCCCCACCTCTGTGAAGTGATTTCATATTGCACATTTGGCTTGAGCACCCCAGGCTTACGCGAGGCTCTTGACTCCTGGTGAATGGTCATACTCTGCACATTTCTATAGTGCTTTTCGTGTTATCAAAGCACTTCCATATACGAGCTCTCATTTGCTCCTCATGACGGTGGAGCACATATTATTCTCCCCATTTTACAGATGAGGAAACTGAGTCCCAGAATGTTTAGGCCCTCTGACCCCAGACATGTCCCTTATGACATTGGCTGTCTGCCCCAGCTGTGGAGAAGAGGTGTGGGGAGATATCTATTGTAGATCCCACCCAAGAGTTTAACCAACTAGAAGACTTACTCTCTGGTAGGCATTCTGCTTTATTTTGCACAGGTAGATAGATTTTTCTCATCTTTGTTGTAAACAAACTAATGCATGTTCTCTGCTTGAGCCAGAACTAGTCCAGTGTTGGTGGCTTGCCATGCAGTTTGAGCTGCAGCCACATCTTCACTTCTCCTTTCTCTCCCATTTCCCTCACTTAGTGGCTGAGAGGACAGAGATGGTAACCCAGAGAGCAGAGGCAGCGAAGGGACTCATGGAGGGTGACAGCCATGGGGACAGTTGGTGGGGACCTGGGCCTGGGAAAGCCACTATGGAGAGGGGAAACCATGACACTAACCCCTGGTGCAATGCACATCATCTTTATCCCTTTCAGCCCTTGCTGGGTCATGAGCCTTGGGCAGATGCCAAAGAGCCAAGCAGTGGTGGTGGCCAGCTGGGCAGAGCATCCCTGCTTGGCTAGGAAAGCTTTACTTCTCCGAGTGCCTCCACCCAAGAGATGCATGATCCACAGTGCTGAGAGACCACATCTTGGGGTGGTCCACTGTAGACCACCAACTTCATTTGCCCCCAATCCTTACATAGGCCCTACCTTTGCCCAGGAGCTTCTAGATCAAAATCAGAAGGTGGTTCAAGGAGTCAAATGAACAGTCAGCCCCCACCACCCACTCCTTGCCCCATGCAGTGCTTCAGCCAACTCCTTCAGCAGCCCCACGGGCTCCTGGTTGGAATGAAAGGGTCTCTGGTTGCACTGAGTGCAGCTCTCAAACTGGTCTTGTACTTCCTGAATAAATACTGTTGTTCTTGCCTTAGCTGCTCTCTAGGTTTGTGGGGTTAAGTTACCAGAAAATTGTGCTACTGTGTGTGCGTGTGTGTGCGTGTGTGTAGTGCTAGGAGTCCACAGTAGGTCTCTGTCAAGCCAATGCCGTGATGAGGGCTTTTCCAATACTGACCAAGAATCCACAGAACCACGCAGAAACCCAAGCCCCCTCCAGCTGCTGAGGCAGCAGGCACAGCCTGGGGTCGGGATGGAGCCTCTAGCACCCCAGCACCCAAGTGACTTCCTCACTCCTCTGTAAATGTCATGGTGCTAAGATTGTGTCAACCCCGAGCTGACACATGGTCCTGTGCTTTGGCCACCCGTCTGAGGTAAAAACAAAACAGCCCGACACGTTGTGTTCTGGTGCAGGTTTGTATTAAACTGTAGCTACTTCTCACTTGGTCTCTGTTGTTTTTCTTCAAAGAAGAGGGAGCTTGGCAGGGACCTCTTCTACATGCCCCAGTCGTGACTGGGGCAAGGCTTCAGTTGCTAAGAAAACTCAGCTTGAATCACTCCTGTTGGGTGGCACCTCACTGGGAGGCCTGAGCACAGTGTGGAGATTAAAAACAAAGCTGAGGGACCAGCCTCTCTCCTGAGAGCCCAGAATTTCTGATGGGAAAAAAAAATCAAAGTTTTTGGTGCCATATTTCCCAGGACAAGGTTGCTAAACTACTTGAAACAGGAATAATTAGGGGGAAGCATTAGATATAAAGGGGAAAAACAGTAGACACTCCCAACCTACCCTTTATTACTTATTCTCTTGGCTACCATTTTGGAAGTCCATGGTCCTCTCTCCATTCAGCAGACCCTTGGCTGATGGAGCTCTGGCCTCAAAAATCCTACAACCAAGGGCTGTCCCATAGCCAATGTATCTTTTGAAGGGTTCCTGGCTGCTCTCTAGCTTTCCAGAAACCCCCCTTTGGGGTTGGCCCATTGTACCCTCAAACCCTTTTCCACTGTGTCAAGAATCCTCTACCTGCAGTCTAGATGTCAGCCAGATGTTGGGAGGGACCATCAATCCCTCTTTCATACTGAAGAGCAAGTAAAATTGCTGCTTCTAGTACTGTGGAGTCACTTGTACCTATTTCTTAACCCCAAAAGACAAAACCTGAATGAGGGAATTTTAGGTAGTAGGGAAAAAATATGCACACCGGATTTGGGAGCATGCCAGAATTTGATTAACTGCCAAAAATTTATTGTAAGTATTGTAATTTATTGTAACATGGCCACACATTTGATAGGCCTTGTGCATGTTGTCAGGCAGTCTACAGAGAAAAATAAGAGAAGATACTCAGGAAGACGCTGGATACCTTAGTATGTATGTAGTTGTAGAAAAACAAAAGACTGCAGATTCAGACTTTAAAATAAGACTTGATCATTTATGAGAATCTGCATTTGGGGTAACTCAAGCTAGTCAGCAACTAAGCAAGCCTGTTTCTTAACTCAGAATTGCAGGCTGACTTTTATATACGAGGGGTCTTCAAAAAGTTCATGGAAAGGTTCCTGTTATCTTTCAATTCTAGTTTTCCACAGCTCTTTGAAGTACCCTGTCACAGGCACAAGCTAGCATTAAGAATTGCCTTGTGGTCTGTGGAGGAGGAAGGGTCTCATGACACCCCAGGTATGAAGAAGAAACCTCATGATACACAGAGGGGGTACTTCATAAGGTCTTACGAGTTAATAAAAGGCTATTTGACAGTGTTGCTGATAACGTACATTTTCTTTTCAAGCTTAAGACTATGCTAAAAATTTGGTTTAAAAACATCTTAATTTTTAGCTTTACATAAATACACTCATGCTGTCATACCATCTTTCTGGCTAGAATCACACAGATGCATTGAATATTTTCCTTGAAATGCAAATTCTTCACATTTTTACTGTTTAAAGCAAATCATCAGTCTTGAGACCCTGAGATTTCTGAATGCCATTTTTCATTGGACACATTGACAACACTGTTATGTGAGTCACAGACTTCCAAGACCCTTTGAAGGGAAACCTATTCCTTACCTGAAAATTTAAGATCACCTTGCACTGGAAACAGTTGCTTATGGTTGTGCATATTTAAAACTTCATCCTCTACTCAGAGCCTCTTGCTTTATTAAGATTCTTGATTTTAAACTATCTTCTGAAGTTTTGAGGTCTAGGTTTACTTTGAAAGGAGTTACTACTTTTTGATCAATTCCCAATGACACCAAACTTCAAGATATTTGGAGGGGTTAATTTCAGTAAAATAGACTTCTCCTGGGGAGAGTCTTTTATCCCTTCACGACTGAGGGAGCAGAAGCCACTGGAAAGCCACTTGTCTTGGGGAGGACTGTGGGTATCTTGAGTCCTAAAGGAAAGGAGACTGAAGTGGCGGTACTTCCCGGACCTGTTCCCATCTTGCAGTTGTCTGACAAGAATTTCTGGTGTCCACAGAAGAGGAAATCTGGAGGCTCCATTTTAGGAC